ACACACACACACACACACACACACACACACACACACACACACACACTGTAAGAGACACACCATCATGTTGGAGTGCAGTCAGTGAGTTGAAACCTCTAATGAGAGCCGTTTGTTGAAATGACAGTTTCAGCTAAACGGCAGTGCCGACATTTTAACACATTAAAATAAATGAGGGGGAAGAAGGAAAATAATTTATAGCAATTCCATAATAGCTAATGAACCCACATTAATCAAAGGAGAAGGTGAAGGGCTGCTTGAGCCACAGCAACAGAGATTTGTTTACATAAAACAAACTACTTGGGAAAGCAAAGTAAGCAGAATATGTAAAGAAGGCACTGGAAACATCTTTAAACATTGATTTTGCTTAAGTGCAACATTTGCTAAAAAGGTCCCAACAATCGACAAGAGAGCTGGAGACAGAAACTGTGCTTGTTGTTATTAAGTGTTTTATAGATTTTTAGTAAATAAAGAAAGTACAAAGCTCAGACGCTACATTAAAAAAATACATTTTTCTTTATCACAATTTAAATAAAGTTAGTGGTTGTAAATATATTATCTCTTTTTTGTATGTTTCTGTAAAAATCCTGACAGGGGACATCCAGACTTTCTGCTCCTTATGCAGATAGTTTAGAACATAATCTACAACAATTATAAACCATTAAAAGTGAGCTCTTTTCTGCTCTTCAGAAATTATTTAGCTTCATACAAAAATATCAATCTTACGTAAACTTGTACTACTACAGTATATAATATGAAATTTTTTTTTAATCTCTTTTACAATAAATCCACCAATGGCAGAAAACAAAAACACAGCCTGAGATATTCGAACTCAAAAATAAACCTAGAGCTGAGTTTTCTGCACAAGAACTTCTGAAGCTCTACAAAATATTTTAAAAGCTAACTTGTATCTGCACTCTGCTAATAAAACCTTTGGGATGTACAGCAGGTGTTAACTCTCTGTTACCAAGTCTACATTTTAAAAGTAGTGCTAAAACAGAGAATTCCTCTTCTTGAGGTTTTCAAATGAAGTAGCTCAGCATCCAAAAGTGGATTCCCATCATGGAGGAACTTTGAGCAGCATTACTGTGTTTGCACCACTTCAAGGCAATCCATCTGATAAACACAACGAACCAATAACTCAGTCAGGAACCAGCAGGATGACAGATTACCATGCCTAAAGCCTTGACASTTGAAAGACTAATAAAAAACATAACATGATCATCTCAAAGTATTGTAACACGAAGATTTTGACACCAACCATAACAGAGCTTGTGTGTTTTGTGCTTTTATGAACGCTGCAGGAGTCTTACATTACAATGAATTAACAGTTTTCTAATGAACCTGCACCTCCCCCCCCCACACCCCCCCCACACCCTTTCTGGGTTTTCATACTCTGGAGGGGGTGCAGGAAAATAACAGGTTCTTTGAAGCATTAACTTATGAGTTACAGAGTAACCAACAGGGAGGGCTGCCATAGAAACCAAGATCCTTATAATGACAGAGCCAAGCATTAATGTGAGGAATGTGCGTGCAAACCTTTGTTTTAAACCCACAACCCAAAGTGTTACTTGCTATTTTACTTTACAGCAGGCGACAGCGCTTTAGGACAAACATTAAGACTAAAAGAAGAGAGTTTGTTTGGAAGCAGCAGTATCAGATTAGGTAAAAGTTTTTTTTTTTCAATTTGTCCCACCGATTATAAAGATAGGGTCAAAAATAAAAACAAACAGTCAACATTTAAGCTCTTGTGACACAATACAACCTACAAATGTCAATTTGAGAAGATGACACTGTAAAAGGTGGAAAACTCCACTTTCACACTTCAATAACATTTTGGAAAGACAGAAAAAAGCAATGGGTTCCAATGAGTCCAGACCCAGAGTGCGTAAAATAACTCCCTGTTCTGGTGTTCACGAAAAACGAGAGTGGACTGCAACACTTTCTGTGGAGCTGCCAGCAGGATCTTTGGGCCAAAAGAGGACTATTTTACCCCCACTAAAACAAGACAAAACTAATTTATCACTTTCAGGTAAGTCTGTGCCAGATTTCATTTTCTTATCAGCCAGACTTTCAGTTTTGAACCTGTTTAAAACTCCAAGAGGATTTTTGATTCTTGYTGCAGGGCAGGGACTGATGGGGATGTCCACCTGTTTTTACAACAGGCCAGCTGGTCAGCAGCGGAGTGATACAGGTAAAACATTTAGACAAAGTGAAAAAAGAGGTGAAGTGCACACGGCATAAATAATTCATATCGTACACTTTTACATTTAAAAATGTCTCCAGCGGTGCTCATAAAACCAGTGTGGGGAAAACACGGAGGGGGCGGACACATCTGCGAGCTGTGACTAGAAACCATTTTCTCTTCTCTCCCYGTGGGTCTGATTTAAGTGGATGTGGAGTGGAAAGTGCGGTTGAGAGTCTAAAGGCACGGCTGGCCCTTGATGGGATCTATTTTCAGCACACAGAGAACAAAAAAGTCCCTACCATCTCAATTAAAATGCAAAGTGATGCGATTTATGGAATCATTTATCTGAAATCCACTCATCTCTTATAAACTTGTCATTTTCTCTTAGAATAATAACCAGCAATCAGTGTTAAGTTGATTTGGGGACTGCTTTGTCTGCCATTTATAGGTTAGGTCACTGGAGGCCCATCATCATCATCATCATCATCATTCATCAGTAGTGAGTTTACATCCAACACACAAGAAATATCAGAAAAAACAAGTTTAAATCCTTATTTTCTCTAACAAACGTTTCTAACTAATTCTTTGTTTTTGTCCTTTAGTTGGAGATCTGAACGCAGAAAAGAKCCAGAGGACAAAACTTCCTCAGAGACAAACATCTTCTGGGACAAAGTCAAGAAGCAAAGTCTGCACCCCAAGTCCTGGAATCAACATCTTTTCTTCTTTTTTTAAGAAAGAAGTTTAGTCCAATATACAACTTCAGTACAGTTCTGATTACATAAAAAATGTATAAAGAACTATTTATCAAATTTTGACAACATTTTACTGGTGGCTGAACATAAAGMATGATGGATAAGAGAGATTTGGAGCCTAAAACTGAGTTAAAGTGCTTTTTGTGTTTAAAAACCTGGATCAGAATAACAACCTCAATCTAATTAGTGTAGCTTAAAYCTTCTTGATGATAAACTTGCAAGAAGTTTAGAAAAACTGATGTTTTGTTAATAATCTTGCCATCTATAGAGACTATTTTCCAAAGATTTATGATTCTAAAATGTTTAGAAACCTGAATGAATTTGTAACAAACCAAAGGACAAAACACGATGTTTGTTTTACAATGAATGTTTGCTTTTTTAAATTAGATTAAAGCAACATGACTCAGAAAAGTTGAGACGAGGTTATGATTACTTTGCAGCACTTTCAATCTCAGTCTGCTCTTTCTTTATTACTACCAATCATCATTTGCCACAAAAACAGCTCTGATGAGTCAGGGCTTGGACAAAAACCAGCTGGCAGTGTCTGGGATTGTTTGGAACCAGATTCCTTGGACTGCGTGGACTGGACTGCAGCATATTTTTGATGCCATCAGATCCTAAGAGTATGGTACCCAGGAGGTTTGGAGACTGCAGTGAACACCTCAGACTCTGTAATGTGATTTAAACTCTGCTGAGCTGTTTTTTTCTCAGGACAGAAGTTGGTCAGAAACGTTTAGATGAAGACAAAGTATTACATTTATGCTTTGAAGCACGTTTTTTTCATGGAGAGCATTTTAGGTTAAGTTCAACACTGTATAATAAAAGCATCGTATTTTTTTTCTGAACATATCCCTCTGCTTTGTTTTGTTCCCTGAGTTTATGGCGCCCTCTACTGGAGACAGGGGTGTTATTTAAACTACAACTTCAATCCCATGATGACAAATCTTTAGAAATAAACTTTATCCAAACATTTATCATGAAAGTTGAGGATCTGTTATGGAAATTTAGTTGATGGTATAAAGCTGAAGATTTTTTTTCTGGATGTTCTGTCTTTTGAAAAAAAGCAAAAAATCTCTAACAATAATTAGATGGAAAACAGAAAACTCTTAATTGTTTAAGGTCTCTCTCTTGAGGCCAACTCTTAACAAAATTAAAGAGAAGGATAGGAAACTGACTCCTGGGGCCACAATGGAAACAAAAGCCCGGTCCTCTTGCACAGCATGTTAGACGAAACAGTGACAAAATCCCATCACACAGCTGGAGAACTTCAAACAGAAAAGATAATCTGGATGTGGCAAGGAAGAACTTCCTTCAAAAAAAGCATTAAATTGCATTAAAGAAATCAAAACAATTGCATGTGAACTTTTATTATCTGCCACTGGATGTCATTATTGGGCAAACATTCACAATAAAGTTGATAACAAAAGCCTTGAACTCACTATTACATGCACTTTTATAAAGAAAAATCCACAGTGCTGCTTTGCTTTCACAGTTTTGTTTGGACCACTTTATTTTTATTATGATCATTAGTGAAATCAAGTGATTTTTTTAAGAAAACCGTAAAGAAATGAATGATTATGAAAACAATACAATTAACTGCACAAAGGTTTGGATTGAAGGCACTGGGGCAGAGAAACTCTTTCAAATGATCTACTTAAAAAGCTATCGAATCAACAAAGCAAAGTCAGCCAGTAAGACTTGACTTGAGGAGCCAGACTGACCACATATAGCAACACCCAGGAGATCTAGGCCGGCCCAACTCTTTAAAAAAAAACATCTCCTTTTCCAGTTCGCTAGCCCCACACACTGGACCTTAAAGCCAAATTATTGCGGAGGTCGGGGGAGACTCATGAGGTCTTGGTGTCTGCCGCTCCATACTGCTACATAAAAAGAAGGTGAATGATTCCGTGTGAGCAATTGGTTCCAATTGACAGAGGATTGGTCATGGTCAGCCTTCTGAGTGGAAATCCACGTGAGAATGTAGCATTTGGACCAGCAAGGGGCACAAGAGGCCAACGGCAGACAATGAGGCCACTCAGAGGAGACTGGCTGCTGTGGAAATGTGGAGCCCAATCTCCTTTGATTTAACCCGACTTCAGCTAGCTATTTATTCTGCTTAATAAACCGAGATGTGTAGTAAAATAGCATGACTGGGTTAACTCTGATAACATACCCACAATAAACAGACATCACCTGAAACATTCACTTTTGAGGGGTTTTTGTTCCTCCGCTCGGCATCAAATTGTGTCGAATCAAGTGAGGGCAAATCAGATTCAGCACATTCTAACATTACATGACTGAAAGTACCTCTTCAACCTCAAACAGGAACTCAACCATGACTATTCTTGTGACTTTTTCACCAATTAGGCAGGTCCTGTTCACTGAAAGGGACCAGCTGCTTTTAAGTCTCTGAGGGCCAAAGGGTTAGTGCTCAATCAGTCTGCTTGGAGAGGTTGTGTGTTTGAAACCGCCACTAGTTGACAGGCCAAAGATACGGGTGGTGGGGGAGTTTGGTGAGGGGAAGGAGTCCTGCCAGTAAAAAAAAAAAAAAAAAAAAAAAAAAAGAGAAAGAGAAGCCCTTTGTAGCCAAGATACTGGCCGGGGCAGCTTGGGCTCTCACAGTCCAGCCGCCCCTCTCCTTCAGGCCTACAGCAGCTGATGACAAGGCCCCAGCTGCTAATTATACGGCTGATGGAGAGTCACTCAAGTGGGACTGTCAGAGCAAGGGGTGGCCTTGTGTCTGCAAATTTGATGGAAAGTTGGGGGGTGGAGCTGAACTACAGAAGGAGGGTTTGTTTTGTCTTTTTCAAAATTGTGACCTATCAACAAACTGGCCACTATTCAAGAAAAAAATAATAAATCCAAACATATTTATTGTGTTATTTCTCTAAATGTCCTTATTTTAAGAAGCCTTTTCAGTCCAACACAACGTCTGTGAATCTGTGCAAGTTGGTCACATGACAYGATATGTGCTTGGCTGAGGTTGCACCACCTTTCCACCATGCTCCTCCTCATGGATCCACGCTACACCGTCGTCTGGCCACTGGACACCGGAGCATCACCAGTTGAGTTCCATATGAAGTACTCTTTGGACAGAAGTTCTCGGGCTGAGGGCCAAACAGGAAAACTCTTCTCAGTTTCATGCACGACACAGCAGACACAACAAACTATTGGACGCAGAAAACTGCAGGCTTACATGTTATAATCCGTGGTTTGGCAGAAGAATAAACTTGAACCGAATGCTGGTCCACGTAGCACCCAGACAATGTTGTGTCAGGCACTTTAAAGTACAACTGTTAGGGACAAAGGTAAAACTGTCAAAACAATTTACGGCCTAAAGGTTAGATACTTCTTATACGTTTGACTGTATATTAACAAAGTGGCATGCTTACTTTTTGGTTCTTCTTTCAAATTCTAGCAATAATTAAAACATGAACGTATTGATGTTTGTCGTTTCCATTGCAAAAATCTCCATTCACAATCTCCAACATTAAAGGAGGGTAAAAGCTTCGACATCATAACTAGGGTTGGGCAAAATCCTATCATGTGCAATTAATCGTCAGAAAAACTGTCGACATTTAATATTTGCCTCTTTGCAAATTAACTGCAATTAACTCCATGTGATGACAACATATGTTTGTGTGCGACACACTCTTACTATCAGGCGCGCATTTGAAGCCAACGGCCAAAGAGGGCATTTACACGACCTCTGCAGGGCGGTGCAGGGCGGTGCAGGGTGGCTGCGTGCGAATGACGATCCACAAAAAGTACATTCGATCYTGTTTTTGCCTGAYGGCRGAGCTTGTGCTGAGTCAATCTACAAAGATCCTACAGCACTAGGGTTGGGCAATATTGGCAAAAAAAATTAATCACGATTAATTGTGGTATTTAGCCAATAACGATTAATTTGACGATGATTTCCTTGGAGTCCCTGGACACTCTTATGTCCTGGTCACATGACCAGTTTAGTGGGAAATATTTGTTCTTCGTAAAAAACGGTTCCAAAAATCACAGACCTCAGGCTTAAGATCAAATTTTAAATTGTATTGATAGATAAATATACTACAGAACTTTTATTTTAATGTTCATCATATTTGAAGCAGAGAGGAGCACCGAGTAGACTCTGCCTGGTGGCATTAATCGTATTAATCATCAAGTGCCAAAAAATAATCAATTAATGTTTTTCTGACAATTAATTGCACACTATAAGATTATGCCCAACCCTATACAGCACCAACAGGAAAAGGAACGAGCACATTTGTACTTTCAAAATAATTCAGTAAAGGCAGACTACATTTTGTCACAATCCTAGCTGTCTTATCAAATTCTTATAAGTTCTGATCTATAGATGATAGAGTAAATTGTAACTGGTTTAAGAATTTGTATGAAGATTTAGGGACAGGACTGGATAAGCCATTGCTTCTTCCTGTTCCCTTTTCGAACATGAGTTTTGTTTTATTTTGCTGGAAATTTTATATTGTAATTAATGCTTTATTATTTCATTTGTTGTTGTTGTTTTTCTCCCTGTATTTGTTACATGTATGTATATGTATATGTTTTATTTTACTATTTTATTAATTTTTTTAATTGTTTGAAATAAAAATTTAATTAAAAATAATTTAAAAATATATGGGTATATTTATACATATATGCTGTCAAAACGTTATCAGTCTGTTTGGGAAGCAGATGGCAGCATGCAGCCTATGCATACACATAAAGCATGTGGATTTTATTTTGAAATAAGGATTAAAAAAAGAGAACAACACAGAATGAATTAAATTGGTCTGGCTTCCACATTTATCACTGGATTTATTGCATGATCTCACATTTTCTGTGCATGTTTCTTAGAGCATCACACAGTGGAAAGGAAACGCATCCAGGGTAACCCTATGAACTTTTTAAATCGCCTGAAACACTTACATCAACTGGAGTAAAAGGAAAGCCCAAAAACGAGGAGCAAGGCCACAACGACAGCTACATGCAAGTGCAATTGTCATCTAATTGTTGAATTAATTATCAGGAAAATGCCACAATAAATCGTATTTTTTTTTTTGGCAAATATCACCCAACCCTAATCATAACCTGTTTTTTTTAATGAGTTGTAAACATGAAATGCAGGAATGAATGTATGTTATCAAAATGTAATGTAGATGAGTAAAAAAAAAAGATTTTTGGTTTTAAAATAAATGTACAATCACAGCTTTTTTTTAAATTGTATTTTTACATACAGGTGACACTTTAAAAACATTTTACAGGTTGCTGTTAGGTTCTGATACACAACAGCTTACCTTAATATAAGCAGTAAGACCAGTGCAGAGAGGGTCCGAGGGTCCAGGTGAGAGTCCAGAAAAACTTATCTTGGCATCCAACGTGACCTCACGAGACTTTGGGAACTTTTGACCTTTATGTTAGCGAGAACAAAATTTGCTTTTAYGTTTCTTTTTCCACAAAGCTTCCGTTAAATGATTTTTTAAACACTTATGCTTATGAATCTGATACGTACCCAGAGCCCAGATCAGTAGGTTTTTCTCCTTTGTCACTTCTACTTGTCCCGAGCTCACCTTCGTGTCAATATTGCCAATCTGGTTCCTGAACAAAACACACAGATAAGTTGAGAAGTTAGATGAACTATGAACTCATCACACTTTTTGACTCAACCGKCTCTGACTTTTTATCCTTTTATTTYTTTTACAAGTGCACCTTTCCTCTTCAGTTTAACTAAAACTAATCTGACACCAAAGTTTTCTTTCATGTAAATTAATTGTCAGCTAAACACATCAATTATTGGTCCACTTAATTATCACTACTTCCTGTTTTAAATAAAAAACCCAGTCCTTCTCCTGAGACCTCATACAGAAAAAATAATTCTGAAGGATCGATTCTACTTTCAGAGTTGATAAACTCTGACATTTTTATGCTTCTGCGCCGTTTACCTGTTGAAGAATGGCAGGTGTGCCTCACAGTACTCAAACACGTTCTTCACTGTTTCATGAAGTTTGAGGGATGCAAACACACGAAGCTGATTCTCTTCTTCCGTTAGCTGATACAAACCAAAGATGGGGGGAACAGGGACCTGAAAACAATTTCAAAAAGAAGATCTTTTTCCAAACGGACACAAATGTTTGTAACGTAAAGCCTCTGTGTTCGAACGTATACCTGAGAAGTGTAGCTGCATAGTCTGAAAGGCTCCAGAGGAGGGGAGAAGGGGAACTTATAGGGCCCAGAGAAAGCTGAGCCGTCCACATTATCAACACTGCTGGCTGTGAGGATACTAGAATCCAGTGAGGTTACACAGGGATGGACCAGGATGTCCTGCAGCGGCGAGCCGTTCTGAGGCAGTGAGAGGGGCACTGTCACATTTGGGAGCACCCCTTCTACTTCACACTGTTCAAAGAAATAAARAAACAATGAAAAGAAACAAGCAAACATTTATGTGAAGAATTATTTAYATTTTCAATGTGCACTTACTTTGCATGTAACAGTGCCATAAACATCCCACAAGTCCTGTCTGCTCTTGTTACCATACTGCATGGATCGTACGGTTTCAACCACWGCTACATTTACCGTGGTTCGACCACGATGGAGGCCTGTCTTCCAGGCCGGCAGCTTCTGGGAACCAGAAGAGGTGGCTACTGTTGGTGCAGCAGGTACCCCCACTAGTGGAACATCAAGGGGTGTGCCAAGTGGACAGGCCTGCAGTAGGACAGAGGGCAACATTGCCAGACGAGAGGCTAGCCCATCACCATCAGGCCTGGCCCCTGAGCCAAGGAGGAAAGTTTGCAAGCCTGCCAGAAAAGTGAGACCCTGTGACACTGACAACAGGCTGGCAAGAGGTGGCTGTGGCTCAGAGGGAACATCCACTAATGGCAGGCAGGCCAGGATGAGGGACCCCTGAGAGATGGACAAGACCGGCCAAAGTGTTCCCTTTCCCACCAGACGCAGCTCCAGAGCTGGTGATCTAGGACGGTAAAGGCAATCATCTCTTTGAGCCACAAAAGACTTGTTTGGGCTGGAAAGACCCAGCTCTAAAAGAATGAGATGCAGGACAGTCTTTTCTTCTGGGATTGCTACGTAGGAAGAGCCTGCCAGTCTTTCTGCCCGGTGCTCCACTGTAGGAAACCTCCTGTGAAGGGTAGACAGAAATAAATAAATAAATAAAAAAAGATCAAACACAATACATATTTGAATTTTTCCCTTTTATGTATATAGGTACTGTATTCTAATTCTAATTCATATACAAAAATCAAATTGTAACAGAAACCTGTTTTAATGAACAACACCTAGAGACAGCTGTAGTAATATTTGTTGGGTTTCAGCGTCAAAACAAATATGAACTGAAAGGTCTAGGAAGCGAGTTACAAACCTTGAAAAGCGTATTGATGCATTTTCTCCTTTTTCATGAGAAATAATCCACACAGCACGCAAACTCATTTGTCCGGCTACAATAACAACAACATAGCATAGTAAATCGATGAGATCAAAATATTTACATCTTCTCAGATAGCGTCTTTTCTTAAAAGAAGCAGCAGCTTCCTGTTTTTATTTCACGTGACTGCTCCGCCCAATCAAATACCTCATGCGCATGCGCAGTTTCCAGCAGCGGTCCCCCACCCTTTCCTTACCTTCCATACAGGAAGCTGCGCAAGCTAGCTGTCAACAAAGGGTAAAGCAGTGGGGAATCTCAGAATTAGTCCAGAATTCGGCTATAGAGCCGACTCTTGGTTGCTTCTACCGAAATTTGATGTCGCCAGTTGAATCCTGAACATGGCAACAACCGCTCAGTTGTTCGAGGTAAAGCGAAATGTTTAGCTTTCAAGCTAGCAGGTGGCTAATAATAATTACGCTAACGGTGCTGACTTTATTCATTCTCTCTTGTGCTTTATTATTAGTAACGAGTCAAAATATGTTGACTCAATCTCGTAAAGTACTAAGAAAAAGACGAGTTATTTTAATTTGCATGCGGAAATGTCATTGTTTTCGGTTTCGTACAAGTGCGTAGGTTTAACTTAACATTTGAAGATAGCTCAGGTTCATCGCTTGCTAGTGATTTGTGGTAGTCACTCATTTCATATTGCGTTCTGCCCTCCCTGTAGGAGCCCTTTGATGCAGATGAGTACATTGAAAGGTTGGCATGGAGGACTCCTGGGGGAGGCTCTAAAGGAGGAGCTGAGGCATTTGACCCCAAAAGGTGATGCAAGTGTCTTTCTTTCTTGTTTATAGTCTGTTACTCAATACCTTTTCCTTGACTTTGTCTTAGGGGTATGGCTCACCGAGGAGTTTACCTTGATTTGATTCACCCCTGTCTTTTTTGTTTGTTCCATCATACTTAACAATGTGTGCAGATTTGTATACATATAAAACACMCAGCATCTTTTATCAATAGTTTAGGAAGATTATCTTTCTACTAAAACTGTCACATTATTTCACTGTCAGTTGACAGAGTCAGTTTTCCCAGTTTTATCAAAAGTGTCCTTCATACATTTAAGTGTTATTATGCAACTTTTTTATATTGGGGATAATGAAAGGATGCCATTACTTCTCATTAATTATCGTCAAATAATGTTATCGTAAAAAAAATAAAAATAAAAACACACAATTTATCTAGAGGAAAGAACATAAGCATTGTCAGAAAGAAGTAATAAGTCGTGACTGGTTGAGTTACATGTGATTTTTAAAACTTATTTTGTTCGTTTTTACATTATTAATGTATACAGATTTAAAACAATTATTCAGCTTAATTTAGTAATTAGAAAATGGTAATTTATTTTTCCATTTCCTTTTCTTTTGCTTTATTTCATAGATGTGACATTTTATGTTGTTGATTACTTTACATTTGATAATATTATCCACTGTGAGTATTGGTGTTTTGAACTCAAATAATGTTGCAGATGTGGTTGTGATGCAAATCAATTAGTCTTACCTGGGGTTATTTGTTATACCTAAAATTTATAATATAATTTTTTAACCTATAATTTTAACAAAGTGACCATTTTCTTAAATACTTTTGACAATCTCCCCTCTTTTACAATACTTTGTATTAAGTGAAAACACTTCCATGCAGTGTTTTTAGCCACAAGTAAGGCTTAATTTGTTAATAATTTCTTTCTCACAGTTCTTCTTTCATTTTCTAATTCATTTTACACTTTTCAAAGAGTGTCATTGAGATCTTCTTTTTACATCTATTTTTAATGTAAATTATGATCAGTGTATTTAAAGTGTATCAAACTTTAACAGAGTGTTAGTCCTGCTGTGCTCACTAAAGCACATCTCAGCCTCGGCTGCACTGATTTAGAGTTTTTGATGTGTTGTAGAAATTGAGAAATAAATACGTTTACAAATCCCTTGCTGCTTTCCACCCTGGTTTTATGTTGTTTACACTTGGGGACAGAGTTGCATCTCATAAGCAAAAATGCCACACCAGTTTAACTTTACTGTGCATCCGTCCTGCTTTATCTACTTCAACCACAAACTATTGCCACCACCTCGTTGGAAGCTCTTAGTGAAGAGTCAGGGACAACATATCTGAGGAGGCCACCATACTGTGAGTCACCAGCCAGGGAATGAGTGTCTTTTGGAAGAAGATGACTTTAAGCTGCAGCCAGTGCCGAAGGAATTAGTCAGAAGATTATACACTCATCATTTTGGGATGTTTCCTGCTCTGTGAAATGTGGTGCTGACTTAGAACATTTGCTCTGCAGTCCTAATGGCACTTAGAATGTCGCTGACGAAGCTGCTAGTTTTCAGAGCTTCTTAAGTCTGGGGACCCAGGAATTAAGTATCCAGCACTATTCTGTAACTATTACCTGTAACTGTGAGGTCAGTGGGACGGACTTAACCTTATTGTACTCATTTACAACTCTAGATAAACAGCATTTAGCAGTTTTTGTTAATTGTGCATGACATTTTTGTAGACTTGCTATATGTACATGTCTCCTCTCTGCTGTAAAAGGCTGTTGGAAGAATTTCGGAACCACATCGAGGAGCTGAGGCAACTGGATAAGAAGATCCAGAGGAAAGTGGAGAAGCTTGAGGGTCAGTGTCATCGTGAGGCCAAGGAATTTGCTCACAAAGTGCAAGACTTGCAAAAAAGCAATCAGGTGTGTTCAGTGAAAAACAAATAACTGCACTTTTTTATACTTTTGACTCATTATATTACAAACTACCTTTTGTTTTGTATCATTTCAGGTTGCATTTCAACATTTCCAAGAGCTTGATGAGCACATCAGCTATGTGGCCACTAAGGTCTGCCACCTTGGTGACCAGCTGGAGGGCGTGAACACTCCTCGCCAAAGGGCCGTGGAGGCCCAGCATTTGATGACCTACTTCAACGAGTTCTTGGATGGAGAGCTACGCAGTGATGTCTTCAACAACCCGGACAAGGTGAGGAAGCAGCACATATTTCTGTCGCATGCGGGGAGGTGTGTGTTTATGACCATTGACTAGGACCCCTGCTGTTATACAGCTGGAGGTGAGTATGAACGGGATTACGAGGTAAACCGTGTATGTTAATTTGTCAAGTTTATCCCTTTAGTCGAATCCCTCGGCTAATTTGGATTAATGTACTGTCTTTGCTGTTTGACAATAGCTGTCTGATTGACTAGCACGGATGTCAACATGCTCATGTCAAAACTAATTACTTTTACAGTAAGTTGTCTTGGTGTGAAGTCCTCCTCTTTGTACTGTTTTATAACTAGAAAGAGTTTGATGCAGCGGCAGAAAAACATTTTATGATGCGTTTTTGAAAATGAGATTCAATTTTTTTTCTTTACACAGAAAATGATGTCACATAGGTAACTCTTAAAAGCTGGAATCTGCAGTTTTGTTGTGATCAAGAGATTTGGATTTGCTTTAGATTAATGTGTGTTAGTAGCAACATGTTGACTAAATGCAGAGAAATTAGCATGGGGGTCAATCCTAGAGACGAAAGCTGGAGATGGAGCTAGTTTTCCGGAAAGGCATGCAGAAATATTTGGCCAGATTCCTTTTCCTGAGCGTACCTCCATATGAGGGGAAAGAGGAAAGCTGCAAGTGAATAGCTGAAGGGGGGATGGCTTTGCTAATCCTTCTGAAAGGGAGGGCTGGGCCGCCAGCGTGGAGACAAGTGCTGCTAAACCCTGACTGCAGGGAGACGGCTACATTACTTACATGGGATTTAGCTAATCTTAGCTGGGGGACAGATACTTAAAAAACCTTCGCCGAGCAGAAAGGCTGGATCCTCCTCACGGGAGCAGAGTAATGATGTTAGCTGAGGCAGGCATCTGCGGGAACAGAGGAGTTGCGGACGGTGGGCCTTTCGTAGGTCTGGGGCTTTTTCAGCCGACGTGTATGAAGGGGCGGGGGGAGGTGGGTTGGTGTCTCGATGGGCCCCCTTTTTCGACCGATATCCCTGGCCGGACAGATTATTGAAAGCGATTTAGGCTCCTGTGGGATTACAGCCCATTCAGGAAAGGCATGCCAATAAAGAGTTAGATATGCTGCTAAGTCAGGACTGCTGCTGCCAATGCCCAGGTGAGCGCAGCCCGGCTGTTATCAGCTTCCTGTTTAACACAGAGAGGTGGAGGAAGGCTGCGCTAAGATGATGATCCCTGAAGTGGAGACATAGCCAGCGGCCTGCCCACCTTCTTTCTGGATGTCCACCTCATGTGGTTCTGTGGCTTTTTCCCTTCACCTAACACCTTTCCTCCCTCTGACACTCAAACACAAACACWCTCTCTCTCTTTCTCTCGCCCCTTCAGATTAAAGAGGCGGCTGATATCATTCAGAAGCTGCATCTCATTGCCCAGGAGCTGCCATTCGACAGGTGAGTCAGGCATCCTGGAGGCATCTTTAAACCAGAGTTCTGTCAAATATTGAGGAAGTTGTTGTATTATTTGTTGTCTTGTCTTCACAAAATATGCCACCGCCCCCAAATGCATTACACAATTTTAATTTAGTAGCATTTAAAAGAAAGGTGAACTTATTTTCAGGATTTTACAATTGTACATTTTTCTGATATCTGTGACAGATTTGCAGACGTAAAGGCAAAAATTGCAAGTAAGTTCCCATAATGCTGATAATTACTGTTTGTTATAAACATAATGTACGTTTGCTGCATCTTAACTTACTTTTTTGTGTGTATTTTTGTTTCCGTCCAGGTAAATACCATGACCTGGAGCGGCAGTTAATCCAGGAGTTCACTGCAGCCCAGCGTAGGGGTGAAATTGGTCGTATGCGGGAGGTCGCAGCGGTCCTGCTACATTTCAAGGTGACCCAAAAGAGACACATTTGATATGATTAGTGTCGCTTGTTATACAATACAAAACATTATTAACGTATGAAACCTGTCATGTTGTCAAAATGGTTACACCTGTTTCTTTCTATTGAAGGGTTATGCATACTGTGTGGACGTTTATATCAAGCAGTGTCAGGAAGTGAGAGTTAAACGTTTCTATAATGCATATATGTATAATTTTTTTTCTTTATGGCAGTAATATCAACAGACAAAACATTTACATGTTGTCTGGCTCCTTGTTTTTTTTTCTAAGGGTGCCTACCTTAGGAATGATGTGTTTGAGGACACCGCAGCTCTCTGCCAGAAGGTTAACAAACAAGTGGGCGAGGTCTTCAGCAGTCCAGAGACGGTCATGGCCAAACTCATCCAAAACATCTTTGAAAACAAACTGCAGGTATTTTTTAAAGTGATACAGGGTTCCTGCAGATCCTTAAAAAGTCTTAAAAGACATTGAATTCATCAATCCAAAAATAAGGCCTTAATTAGCCTTAAAATGTCTTAAATTAATCTTTCAGAAGTCTTAAAAATGTTAATACTGTACATTGTAAATAGGATTATTGTAATTAATCTCAAATACTAAAATAATTGGTAACATTTATTTTTTAAATATTTACATGCAGACAGTCCCCGTTGACATCACTTCCTGTTATTTCACATGCAAATATCTCAACAACTGTTCATCTGAGCAATGTGCAGTTTGTTTTGTAAAATGTTAAAAATGTTGTCTTTCCAAAAATGCATTTCTTTTCTTACAAAAACYTGATGTCACAGACACTTCAGGGTTTCATCAACAGCAAATTGGGGTTAAGACCCCACCGTGGGTCCTAAAACTCCAAATTTTGGGTCGTTAAACTGACTGCTAAGAATGTTTTTGCTATGTTTGATGAAAAAGAAGTTCGATATGGATAAAACAATTGGTATATTAGCAATATTTGAGTACTTCAACCAAAAATACTTTGATTCGCGAGTTTCTGCCACAGTTTTATTTTTTTGTCATTTGAGTTTATTATGAAATTGGTCTTAAATTTAATTTCAGTTGGCATTAAAAAGTCTTAAATTAAACTTGCTTTAAATTGTAGGAACCCTGTGATAGATGGATTCTTACTTTGATTTGTGTTACTTGTGGTTTAAACTTGGGTTTTGTATCTGCAGGCTCATGTTCGGGAAAAGCTGGATGAGACTCGACATTCTGATGTTGAACAGTATCTCAGAAACCTCTATGACCTTTACACCAGGTAGTTCACTTGTTACTCTGTCAGTTTCCTACAGGTTAAGTTGCCACTATGCTTATGTTCTTCTGAATATTTGGCATTTGCAGAACCACAACATTGGCTACAAAGCTGACAGAGTTCAACCTGGGCTCAGACAAGCATACGTTCCTGTCAAAACTGATAAAGAGCATTTTCTCTTCCTACTTGGAAAGTTACATTGACATGGAAAGGGAATACCTTCGCACTCGAGGTGCCATGATTCTGCAGAGATACTATGACTCTAAGAACCATCAGAAGCGACAAATTGCCACCGGCAGGTTAGAATTTCATGTTTGGTTTGATTACTGTGGATCAGGGGTCTGCAACCTGTGGCTTTGGGGCCACATTGGTCACTCTGCAGCAGCTCTTCGAAGCTTTGACTAAAACTAACATGAGATAACATTTTTAGTTTTTATACTCACAGCAGAAAAGCAGTTTTCTTATCAATTTGTTTTCAAATTTGTGATCAATAATACAAAAAGTGAAACATGTTGATGAGATTATGCTAGTAGCCTGTTGGCCACTTCAATAACTTCCAGCTTTAAAGTATGACCTTTCTCTCCAATCCTTCAGGGTTACATTTAAAGACCTTTAAGTCTACATAAAGAATTAGAAAAAAGTATGGCCACATGAGTTAGTTGTAGTTTCATTAAATTTGGTATAAACAATACAGGTTTTTTTTTTGGTTTGTTTACATGAACATGGGCTTTTCTTTTGTCCCGAAGTGTAAAAATGGTAATAAACATTAAATTTGCTTTATATTTATGGTTTTATAATGTATGTAATGTTTATAATGTATAAAGACCCCCCTTGGAACAAACTAGAACTGGCCCACGAGCCACTAGTTGATCACAGTTTTGCATCTCTGGACATTTTATTAGTGAGTCACTAATTTTTTTTATAAAGTTGCAGAGCCCTGGATTAGATATTTCCACCTAAAACTGTTAAATGTTGTAAATAATAAAATAATCAAAATTTTTTCTTGTTTTTTTTAGTATTCAAGAATTGAAAGAGCGGATCAGACAGCGAACCCTGGGTCCCAGCATCGACACGCATGGGGAGACCTTTCTGTCCCCTGAACTGGTTGTAAACCTGTTGCAGGAAACACGCCACGCCTTCGAGAGATGCCACAAGGTGAAGCTTCTCTTCTTTCTGCAGTTTGGATTGGTTTGAGCTGCAGAGTTTACGTGTTTTTGATGACGTAAAATGTTTTTGATGTGTCACAGCTTTCAGATCCATCTGATCTRTCCAAGAATGCCTACCTAATTTTTCTGCTTTTGGTGGAACATCTGTGTGTGGATCACATTGACTACGCCTTGGAGATTGGTCTCGCAGGTATACTCAGCTCAGCTCATTGTAACCGTAATGTCTGTTAAACTGTTTCTAATGTCTGTTTGCAGTTTTGTCAGTTAAACCCGTCATTTATTTGTTTGGCTACATTCTTGTCTGCAGTTTGACTACAAATAGTAGGTAATCCCTCTGTTAGGCGTAGCCTCATTCTTAGTCATGTTTTGAGTTTGTCTTGATTGTTAAAACACACACCACAGTTATGAAGACGTGAGTATTTTTACAGCTGATTGGTTGGTTACAGGTGAAGTAAAACCTAGTTTAGTTTTGTAGCTTCACTGTCAGAGCAAATCTCTCACTGCTAAACTTTGAAAATAAAGTTTCTTCCTATGAACACACAAAATGTTTTCAAGTTAATTTATTCAATCAATCAACATGAATCACCCATAAGTGATATTAGATTATAGTTTTTGTTCTAATTTATTGATTTTCTGTATCTAATCTACAGCAATTCCCTCTTCCGATGCCAAAAATTCCAACCTGTACTTCCTGGATGTAGTTCAGCAGGCGAACTCTATCTTCCACTTGTTTGATAAGCAGTTTAACGACCAGCTAATGCCTCTAATAAGGTCAGTTACAATCAAGGGTCAACAGTAGGCATTGTCTTTATTCACAAATACGTRATTATTTCCAAATACAAGTTAACCCTGTTTTTTTTTGTTGTTTTTTTATATTTATACTCTGTTTGCAGTTCTTCCTCGAAACTGCACGAGTGTTTGCACAAGAAGAAGGAGGTGATAGAGCATATGGAAGTGAAACTGGACACAGGCATCGACAGGTCAGTGTGACTGGGAGTTGGTCAAAATTTTAGAAACAGCTCCGTCCTCCTACCAGGAACATTTAGTTTTTAAAACAAGATGTTCTCCACAACACATAGGACACTAAGCTGCATGGTGGGACAGATGAAGTACATCCTGGCGTCCGAGCAGAAGAAAACTGATTTCAAGCCTGAGGATGAGAACAATGTCATGATCCAGTACACCGCGGTGAGAGACTCTGAGCTCGTGTGCAGAGCAGAACAGAAGTCGGCATGTTAATCACCTTGTTGTTGGTTTTGCAATAACTGCTAGTTCTTCTCCTTTTCCTCGGCAGGCCTGCTCCAAGGTGTGTGCGTACGTCAGCCGGCAGGTGGAGCACGTGCGGAAGTCCATGGACGGGAAAAATGTGGACACGGTGCTGACGGAGCTGGGCGTTCGCTTCCACAGACTCATCCACGAGCATTTACAGCAGTACAGCTACAGCTCAATGGGAGGCATGCTGGCCATCTGCGACGTGGCTGAATACCGACGATCTGCCAAGGACTTCAGGGTGAGTGAGGGACATCGATCTGAAACGCTGCAAACGCCCGCRCACAATTAACCTGTAATTTATGTCATTTAAACAAATAACAATGCACAAACAAGCATAAGCATCTCGTTTCTCTGTCTTCAGGTTCCTCTGGTACTGCAGCTCTTTGACACACTCCACGCCCTCTGTAACCTGCTGGTGGTTGCTCCTGACAACCTGAAACAAGTTTGTTCAGGGGAACAGCTCACTAATCTGGACCGGAACCTCCTGCACGCTTTTGTCCAACTCAGGGTGGACTACCGTTCAGCCAGACTGGGCCGACACTTCAGTTAATGACTGTAAGGACCCTCGCTGTGCTCCGTCCAGACGAATACTGCTTTGATGAGAGGATGCGCCCTTAAAAATACTAAATACCATTTCAGAGAAGRTATCAGTCCTGTCTCATCATGATGACTACAGACATTGGAAGACAGCTGCTCTAACGATTTGGGAAATGTGCATTTTATTGTCTTTTCAATGTTTATTTCTGTGCAATGATGAAATTTAATTGTCCATCAATTTCGATTTTCATTTGTTTTTAAATAGTGATGATCACAAATTTCTTTTTAAGACATTTGAGAAGTAAAAGGACACTGCTTATTTCCCTGCTAACATAGAAAACAATTTCTTGTGTCAAATATGACACATGAATTGACTGAAGGTGTTTTAAACAGACTATCAATAATCAGTCTGCAGTTTCACTAAATACGGGAAACGCTTTGTGATGAAGTGTTGGAGACTGAACAGACTTCTTGACCAAGCTTGAATTAGAACTCTGTCTTCCTAAAAGCTGTTTTACACCAAACAGAAACCGTGTTGATAGTCGTTTAATGTGCTTTTGACTTCACATTACCAGAGTCTGCACAAAAACACAGCTAAGACGGCCTCCAGCTGCCAGCGTCTGTGCAAAAAAGCAGAACAAATCAGGAATTAATATATTATTCAATAAGATAAAAAAATAAATAATTTGTAATAAAACAAGGCTTCCATAAAGTCCAATCATTAGACAACATCCAAACTAAACAGCAATTAAAACTAACAGAATATATTGAACATAAGTGTCAAATTTAACACATTTTAACTTGTTACAGAGTACATTTTAAAGGCTAAACCATCAATCAGAGCATTCATTAATCAGGGAATGTTATTCTGACATCATATTGTCTCAGAATGGTGTAATGAAACCCTGTTTTAGCACACATGATCACCATTTCCCCCTTCGACCCGCAACAATAAAGGTGAAGTCGAGAGGCCGTCACAGAGGAGTGTGACCCCGAGCTACAAAGAAGCCTGAGAATCCCCTCTGGAACTTTGGGTGGTCCCCTCATGGCTCAGATGCTTCATGCGATGGGTCACTGAGTCTGTGTCACTGTAATTGCATAGATCAACACTTGCCCATCCAAGACAAGACATTGTTGGCCTAATCTGCAGCATTTCTGGGTCAGAGGACACTAAAATGGTAACCTGTGGTGATTAGGGAAAGCCAGCCAAAGTGACTTCTTCGCACAGGGCTCTTTGGAGGATCGYGACTGATTCCTGAAAATTTCTTCCTTTCCAAAGCTGCTCCCACTGTACTGCCGTTTACCTGAATTAGTAAATCAATAAAAGCTGCATTCATTATCATCCAGCCCTGAATAATCKCTGATATGTTGAGCCGCGTGAATTAAAAGTTTGCCCATTTCTTTCTCTGTGAATGTCACTTTCAAAGTGAGATGAAGCACTCCTCCTTTTCTATAGAAGTCATCAAGTATTCATAGGAATTTTTGCCACCAGAGTAAAGTTCTTTCTTCGACTTCAGGAAGTGAGGGGAGCCAGAGGGGATTAGATCTCTACGAGCTGATGAATTGTGTGCAGTAGTCATGAACTGGAGGAGAGCCGGGGAGATAGAGACGGCTGAGAGCTCAGTTCCAGTGCCGGCTGGTTAGTGTTGTGTAGAAGGTACACACGGTGCTGCGCAAGTTCAAACAACATAATTAATTAGACTAATATTAAAATTATCAATGCCACATAAATTCAATTCTCTCAGTCCTAATCACAACTGGATAGCTTGTAAAAATTATTTTGTTAGGCCCTGATGCAAACAGCCCGTCGTTTCCAAACATTTCGAAAACTATTTGTTTTTGCTGTGATTAATGCGGAAGGGGTTGGGGGGAGCGGAGCCGGGCCAGAGACGATAACTGGTGCAGAGACGAAGGCAGCGGCGCACCCTGGCCTCGGGGACTCCCAGTGCGGGCACATGTGTGCGGGGGAGGGTTTGTGGGTAGGTGTTTGAGCAGGTGGAGGGGATTAGTAATATTGTCAACACTGGAGAGCTGGATAAGACTGTCCTCTTTAACTCGTCATTTTGAGCCACTCTTGTAAACATGTTTGAAAAAATAAAATGAAAACACAGCAGTGATTGTGTAGTGGAGGGAAACTTAGCTTGGGACTGACGGAGGTCAAATTAGTCTATGTGTTTCCTCTTGTGTTTGTGTGTCTGTTATCAAAACCTGTCATGAACTAAAGAGATTTGAATGAATCTTCCAGAAAGTAATCAGTGGATGTACATCTAGAGTTCTTTAACTTTTGTAGTTTGTCTGATTCAAGATGGCTGCCATAGCCATGTGACCTTTAAAAAGATCAAAAATGATTATAACTCGGTCAGTTTTACAGATATTGACCTAAAGTTTAGTGCTGTGGCAGCTGAGATGGATCTGCATCATTTATTCTAAACTCTCCTGATGCATCTCAGTAATCCAGGTAAAAAATCAAAAAGAAAAAAATTGTATAGGTCTTCTGGACGGGTTCTTCTCTAATGAAACGTTTCGTCACCAACGCGGTTGGTGCGACGGTCGCACCAACAAGAATCCCTTTGGTTGAGATGATTACTGCCACAGAATCAGCCATTCGAAACAACAAAATCCCAGGATTTGAAGCAGAGCAACTTCGGAATAAAGTTTCAGCCTGCCTCAGCAACGCCAAACCACCACCTTCTAATATCAGCAGAGAAGAGAGAGACGCTCTCACTACCCTCAGCAAGGACAAGAACATCATCATTCTTCCAGCAGACAAAGAAAGGTGCACAGTTATTCTGAACCAGAAGGACTATGAAGATAAGATCATGACACTCCTTAGCAACACGACCATACGAGCCGCTGAAGAGAGATCCAGGAAGTGGTTACAAGAAGAAACTAATGGATTGCCTGAAAAGTTTAGAGCAGGAC